ATCAATTATAAGATCATTTTCTGAACACTTTTCATGATGAGCACATGGAGTTATCAGTAGTTTAGCTTTTGAAATCACGCTAAAATAGCATATCTGCTCTCATAAAATCCTGTAGTTGGTTCATATGTTCTCACACCACAAATTAACTGCACCATCTTAATGGAACTTTGTGTTAAAAGTGTTGAAAAATAATGAAAAAACATTTTTAATACAACTGATCCCCCACTGGATTGTAGTTTAAAAAAAACAGTCTGCTCTGAATTTTTAGTATTTTTGTTGTTACTGTGTGGAGAAGGTCAGCCAGCCTCTGGGCTACAGCTAGGAGGGGGGGTATATTGGTTTAGCGTTGCTCTGCTCAGCCTGTTGTGAGGGCTAAATGTCACCGCTTCGGCTGGGCTGATGCTGTCGCCCTGCTGCTTCCCTGGGGGGCTGATGGAGATTCAGACCCAGCTTTAAAGACATTTTGCTTGCGCAGGTTATGGTTCTCCAACAGAAAATACCAATGCTATTCAGTACGAGTATAACTGCAAATTTGCTTGCTGGTTTAGGAGAGAGTTGGGCCCTTACTGAAGGCTAAGGCTCTTAACTGGCCAAGGGCCCAGCATATGATGGAACTAGATTTAGATAAGATAAATATTTACAATCCATTTGTCAGCGGGGCCTTGTGCAGTAGCCACCCCACTGTTTCTGAGCTGCTCAAACTTAAGTTGTGAGTGTCTTGAACATTGTTGGCAAAGATGTTTGATATTGCGAGCCATCTTTGATGTGCCCGTCTGTTTCACTGTATATATCCTCTATAGACTACACATTATGATTCATTTTACCTTCGCAAACTCCAACAAATAGATTTGTAGATACATTAAAAATATGAATTTCATTTACAGTTTTGGACTAACATAGGAAGCTTTGGACTATGTTAAACATTTCCAGATTATTGCTAGCCTGGTAAGACCATCCTGATGACGTGAGCTCAACATTTTGTGTCACTCTCTGTATCACTCTGGACTCGATCCCGCACCAAAATCTTTCAGTGGGCGGGAGTACTTGCCTTCATAGGCAAACTCCTTCATCTTCATCAACAGAGCCACTTGATACTCTTCTTATTTAATTACTGTTATTGACTCTATTTCTTCAATAATTTCACTTATTGCTGTGTTTACTCTGCTAACATTACAGTTAGCTTGTTGCTTCCGGAGCCACCTTTATTGTTCTGCAAGCAGCGGCCTGCATGTACGTCATCAGCTACAACACAGACCATGATTGGCTGCTTACCTTGTCAGCTATGGTGCACATTCCTGATTGGCCCCAATTGGATTTTACTTTCTGGATATGAGGCGGGTGGAACTGAGTCTAGACTGATACTGAGAGTGAAACAGAATGTTGAGCTCACATCATCAGGGCGGTCTTCCCAGGCTGAATTAGTGCAAATGATGACCCTTTTACATCAGTGATATCGGTCAATATATGGGTTATTTTGGTCATATTAAAACAAGGCAGCTTTGTCAAAACATAGTGAGAGGACTGGTTAAATTACTGTCTTGGCTTGATTAAGCACTTTGTGACTTTCTCAAACACTGAGAAATCATGGTCAGAGCTTTTACTTGTAAGAACCAGTAGGATCTTAGAAGATCCCAAACTTTGGCCATGAAATAGGGCATGGGAAAATTGCCTGTCATTTTTGCTGGCCGCTAAGTACGTCAGACTACAGCAGAGTGGGGGCTGATGACATATACTACCACCTAATAACCACCTAGATGTTCTTCTGCAAAGAAACAGTGGTAGAAGAGAGGTGAGTGTGTCACTTATGCAGGATTAAGTGAGCAATCGTGTAGATTGTTACAAGGCGAAGCCTGTGTAAAATTACCACCATTACTAAACTATACTAGATCAATAATAATTACCACTAAACTAATATTATAAAACCGATGGGCTTAGTTTTAGCTATACAGTATGTAGATTATGTTTCCTCAGTTCTCATATGATTCTTTGTGCTAAGTCAGTGTGGTCCTGAGCTGTGTATCCAGTTGCATTGTTAGTCATTCTTACATTGTCTCTCCCTCTCTCTCTCTCTCTCTCTCCCTCTCTCACACTCACACACACACACACACACGCCTGTACTCAACAGTGTTGGGTAAGATGTCAATAAATAAAAACCAGGTCAGATACTTCATCAGTCAGACACATTACTTGTGACACAATGATTGACTGCCTAACTCACAGTTTGCATATTATCTTGTCTTGCTGAAACACTGCTAGCAATTTGTGGCCTGTTCCATGCACAACAGCATGCAGTTAGTAAGCCTAACAGCTACACAGAGGTCAATGAGTGAAAAGCACAGTCTTTGAAATGTTTTCAGTTGTTGATCTGATGATGCACTTAATTTAATTATTGCTGAAAACTAATAATGAGTGGTGTCTGTAACAGCACTGGTTGATATCTTATCAAAAAAAAATCCAGGTTGTGTTATGTAATATACTGTATTTGATCTGTGTGTAAGGCAAAGTGTCTGTGGTGAAACAAGACACTTCATGGTTGAAAATCTTTTTAGAAATGGTGCCATCCTTTTAATTCAAGAGGCAGTCAGTTCATATATCTTGATCTGTGCCCTTTAAGGATGATTTAATGGATGACACTGGTATGGTATAATAACACTGTTGTAAATTATATGCTTAGGGTAATGGTAAAGGCATGTATGTGTATTTCACATCTGTCCAATCGATGTCAGGGCCTGACTGTTCAGGACTTGGAGGAATACTGTGCCCTCAAAATTGTTATTTTATTATTGATTTTTTTTTGCACGCCCTGATAGCACCTAGGAAAGCAGGTGCCTTTGAACTTCCTGTCCATGCTTGAGACTGTTTGTGCAGAAGTTCCAACTGTTCCAACTGTTTTTGGATTCTTCATTTATCATGGTGGCATGTGGGAAAAAGAAAGTTTTCTTCGAGAATTAAATTTTACACAGGGTAAGTAGCTGATACACAAATGATCATTCTGGGGATGAAATATTATAACTTTATGCCCCTTGGTCAGAAAATTATACCAATAGGCTGCAGGGCATATGGTACTGCTATCATTGTCATTCATACATATAGTAAGCATTGTCAATGTGCATACCGCTGAACAAACATTTCCACTATGTGTGTAGCCTTCCATACTGATGATGCAGTCCTGAGTGTCATGTTACTGCATCATGGTTCTGTTCATACTCTGTGGTCAGTAATTATGCACGTGTTGATTGGGTAAGCCAGAAGGCTACATAATGTATTTGGTGGTTTGTGACTCTGATGAAGGAGGTTATTTATCTGTCATGAAATGAGTAATTGATCGCAATGATAATGATTTAATGTTTTATGCATGATGGTCTGATTTTTATCTATGTGGACTACAGGTGCTCTGCAAATAAAGGGATTTTTTTGGTGAAAGAGGTGCTATCCCAACAGCCTCTCACCATGTGGAGGAAAAAATAACATCAGAGTGTGGAAATAGAAAGACTATACTACTGTCAAACTGCCTTACTTATGTCCTTTTTATGTGGAGCAACAATTTTGGCATGCTCTCAGCTCTCAGTTCTATCATGGTTAATTTTGTTTAATTTTACTTGTTTTCCATCAGGTGACCACTCTAAGAGCAAGCCCTCTGTCCAAAGAAAAAAAATAGGAAAATGCATAGAATTTACGAAACACTAAGCCATATACAAGTGAACATATTTAAAACCCCAACCATAGGTTAAATCCTAGAAAATGTATCATATTATTGCTTTTAAGTTATTTAAATGGTGATAAAAATTCTTCATGTAATTCTTAATAGTTTTTAACATGTAGTTCTGACACAGCACTGAGTGCAGTATTTTAGGTGAGAGAAACATTTTCACTCATTTTAAAAAGAAACTTCATCTCAGCAACCTGATGCTCTGCTGTATGTCTGCTTCACATTCTACTGATTCAGTAGCACTCAGTCATTATAAATTATAAATGTACTTGTACCATGTTTTTGTTGTGGGGAACAACATAAATGTCTCCTTGGTTGTTATTTGTTTGGCTATGGAAAAGTATTTGACATCTGTTGGTGCTTTTCTGGAAAAGGCTTTTTAAAGAGGAGCCATGTTTTCAATGCATTGTGGTTGTAGTAGACAGGAGCAGTTGGGGGGAAATTATGATTTGTGTGGACACATCATGTTAAGATAATTACAACTCACCAGCCTACATACCGCTAGGATCATAATTACTAGAAGAAGGAATAGGACAGCTTCAGAAATACAGCCCATAAATATACATATACATATACATATTTAAATCAGAATCAAATCTACAAACAAATCTGTGCTTGCAAAACTGCTGCTGTTTAAAATGTCTCTGAATCAAATCCAGACAAGCCAGCTACTGGTTAGTGCATAATTATTTAGAGTGAAAAGGTGAAGATGACTTGTTTGCTTTAACCTTTATCATGCAGACAGAGTGATAAACTCCTATGCACACACACAAATAGAGGGCAGGCACACACACACACACACACACACACACACACACAGCGTTTGTCCTTATGCAGACCTTGTTTTTCTCATCACTAAATCTCCAAATGCAGAGCACAGAGTGTAGCAACACACAGTATCCACCCTCTGTGTTTCTTTTTGTGCATATTTATTTTCCCCTGCGTTCCTTTCTCTCTTACAGTGTTTTCTTTTAGTGATTTATTTCTGGCTTTATTGCAATAACTGTTATTCTGCATCAGCTGAGGCAAACTAATCCACATAAAAATGAACATGTATTCCACTTGTATGAGTGTGTGTGCACTGAACTACCTGCAGTAGTTCTGAACTGTCAGCAGCTCACCAGCTGCTGATACAACAACTTAAATATTGGTCTAAAACTGAACTGTTATTTGCTCTAAACACACACATCCAAACAAATAAACACAAATGCAGTAGAAGGACAGATGCACCCACACCAGTCTCTCCATAAAAGATCTGCAGTTCAGTGTGTGTGTTTGTGTTGTTCCTCACCTTGTCCCAATGAGTGTGACTCCCCCTCCTCCACTCCAGTTGTCTCTGCTGCTCTGTCCTTCATGTAAATCCGCCTCTTTCATAGCAACACTCCACATCTCATTCCTCTGTTTGTGTGTGTGTGTGTGTGTGTGTGTGTGTGTGTGTGCAGGTGTACCGAAGGCAGGCGTCAACCAGACTGGCAGTGTTGGAAGAGGCAGCGGAGGGGAGGACAGCTTCTCACCAGAGGGAGATCCTTCACCTGCAGAGGCTGCTAAGAGAAAGACAGGAGGCTGAGGAGAGACTGCTGCAGTCCAAACGGTAGGAGGGGAGCGAGGAGGAGAGAGAGAGAGAGGGAGCAGAAGGGGTAGGATGCAGGCAGGCAGGAAAAGGGAGGAGGATAGGGAGAGAATGTGTGAATGAAAGGAGGAGGAGAAAGAGAGAGGAGATGGTATTTGTAGCAAGAAGGAGGGCAGAGACAGCAAGAGGCAGCAGAAAGGTGCACATAGAGGCACAGCCGGTCACATCAACAAAACAGTTACTGGCAAGAAACAGAGATGTCTAGACAAAGAAATGGGTGTCACTCTTCTTAGAAATTGTCCATCTTTTCCTGCCGTTGTTTTCCCCAAGAAGAATAAGTCAGTCCAATTATTATCTTATTTAGATTATGACAGATTTATAAGTCACAAGGACATTATAGTGAAGTAATGACAGATTTTCTTAAAGGTAATTCAGAATGAGTGAGTGCTTACTCAGTTTGTCCAACAGAGAGCATACACCTAAACGCCTTACTCAGTATATACTTGGTCACGAGACTTTAATGACCAAATTTAAAGTCACTATAACCAATATTTTTATATAAATAATGCATCAAATAGCTATGTGTATGTGAAAGCGGTGGTTTGTAGTGACAAACCAACAGTGTTTAGATTCAGAGAGTGAATATTGCACTGACATTCAGGAGGTGGCCAGAAACACCAAATGAATGTCAATGTCACTGTGTGTCTGCTGGATGTGTAAATTAGCAGCTGTTTGTGAACAACTTTCCCATATCAACTACATAAGTTGGTAGTATGTCAATATTTTGTTTATAGCTTGTTGCACTGCCCCCAGGTGGCCAAAAAAAAAAAAACAGTAAAAGAAGCTTCAAAGATGGAGAGCAGGACTGTTGTTTCCCCCCCAAGTGGCAGTGAGTGTAATTACACAAACACTGTTTTATCCATATGTATGACAATAGACTAGGGATGCAGCTACTGTGACATCACCCATTGCTTTGTGGACTCCTATTTCAAAACCTCAAGTCTGGCATTTTGTCTGTCGCCATCTTGTTCTTTTTTTGTTTTGGAGCCAGAAGAGGGTGGACATGTGGAGAAGGGAGGGGTGAATCTGACTCATAAACTGCGGCCACACCTCACTGACTGTCTGTCACTCAATCTGGCCATGTCTTTAATTTTGTATAACATCAAGCCTTAATAGAATGGAAATGGAGGCGTCATGTAAAAATTCAGGCCTTGTACAGCTGTCATGAATCGAGAAAGTTAGCTATAGAGACCCAAACCTTATTTGGCACAAGCTTGAATGTAACAGACCTTCATTCATATGTGGAAGTACAGACTCCAGCTTTAAGGGATCCTTATCAAAACGTTTTATGTGATGTTATGTTAACGTTACTGGATCTTTTTAAAGATCTCTAATGTTATCGTCTGTACCAGCCTTGACTTATAGTAGCAATCTAGTTTTATACAACACAGTGCAATTCACAGCAGGACAGCAATTCAACAGGTGAGAGTAAACAAGACACCACAAGAGTATAACCTGGTAACGCAGCAGCAATAGCACATTACAACACATCACTTTTCTAAAGCAAGATCTCAGCTCCTTTGCTACTGTGTATCTATGTATTCTCTGTAGCTTCTAGATTTGTTGCAGTGCCACTCTCATTGCCGGGTTCAGGAGATAGATGCTGACACTGCTGTAAAAAATGCACACAGCAGATCATACTGCTCAATTCTAAATATCTCCCCCCACACTTAACCAGTTGGCCCTGTCAGGACCGTCCGTGTCTACCAGTCATCCAAACCCCACTGTGTTTTCTCATTTGCAGATGCTAGATTGCTCATAGTCTCGCCACCAGACAATCAGAGATCTCTGCCTTCTGATAGTCTGGGGACACTCCTGTCTAAAGTGTGTTTAACACACCAGAGAAAACGGCCGGCAACAAAGCAACGCCTCTTGCATTTTTTAAAAGGACACGCCCTCCCGGATATGTGCACTCCCCCTTTTCTCATCCACAAGGAAACAAACACACAGAGAACTTGAAAATGGATGCCGAGAGATTTAACTCCGTTTTATCAAACGTGTGCTCAGTCCACAAGATTGTGGAAATGAAGAACTTACAGCGACTTTGTTTAAAACTTTTAACGCAGTCGGACTATGTTTACGAGCACAAGAGTTCAGCGAGCCACCGAAGGACCGCCCTGCGGATTTACTATTGGTTCTGCAACATAGGGAGTTTTTTTAAACTCTGAAATTGTATCTGCCCATCTAAACACAAAATCAGGGAGAAAGACATCAGTCTTTAGTTAAGCAAAGCGTCTAAAGACTGACTTGGGAGTCTAGATTGCTCAGGGTGGAACAACCACATTTGATTTTCAACAGGATTTGCGTAAATGGTGCATGAAACATTTTATTTTGGAATTCCAGAGAAAGGCCCATCACCATGGGGTGATGGGCGATAATAAGTTTAGGTTAAATTAAAAAAAAATGTATGTTAGTCATATTGTTTGTATTGTATTGTATATGTTAGAGCTGCATTGATAAATTGATTAATCAATTAGCTGTCAACTATTGAATTAATTGCCAAATAATTTCATAATTAATTAATCTGTTTAAATAATTTTTTACCCATAAAGTCTAAATTCTCTGATTCCAGCCTCTTAAATGTGAATATTTTCTGGCTTCTTTACTTCTCAGTAAACTGAATATCTTTGGTTTTCGGCACAGACTGTATAAATAATGGACGTAGCTACTATCACATCATTGTCTATAGGGATTTACTCTGTTTTGGAGCCAACCTCAAGTGGCCATTAGAGGAACTGCAGTTTTTGGCACTTCCACATAAGCCTCATTTTTCAGCCTTGGATATTGCTGCTTGGTTTGTGGACAAAACATGACATTTGTGAACTTCATCTTAGACGCTGGGAAACACTTCATTTTCTAGCATTTTATAGACTAAACAACCAATTAATTAATCAGGAAAATAAAAGACTAAATAAATAAAGACTAATCGACAGTGAAAATAATCATTATTGGAGACCTCAGTATATGTATACTGTGTAGTTTTCTTGTGTATATACATATATATTATTGATTCTTTTAAAATAGTACTTGATGCCTATGTGTCTGAAGATAAGAGAAGAGAGAGATAAACTGTAAAAGAAGGTTACTTGTAAATATTATCAACCCTATGCCATTGCATTAAGCTAATTGACCTGTCATAGTGGGGGAAGTGTTGTATTTACTAAAAAAACACTTGCAATGAAAGAAAAAGTCACTCGTTTACAGGAAAATATCTGAAATACCATGTAACTGACCATCTGAGTTGGTACAGGAAGAGATTATTTCAGGATATTCTGACTGCTACAGTGTGACAGCCTTGAAAAACTCAACTAGCACTTTGTTGCCTCTGAAACAATCAACCACTTCCCCTTTATTCCCCTGCTGGTATGTCTGTTTTTAGCTTGGTCTCTCTCTGGGCCTGCTGCCTGCTGCTATCAAATGAAAGCTAGCTAATCAGATTGTTAGAAGGTCTTGTCCTACTCTGCCCCGAGGGCAACGACATGACAAATCTCACACACTACCACACAGACATCACTTGCCACTTGCACTGGCTTCATAACATTACAAACCACTGTACTTCTGGCCTTGTGAAACTGCAGTCACCACCGGATTTACCAAACATGCATCCTACCCAGTGTGCTGCAAGTCATTGGGGTGCATGCAAGTGAAGCCCTGAGTGACCTCCAAATAACAGCATCTAGAGTAGACTAGTTACCAGCCACAGGAAAAATGTGAAACTATCACTGTAGTTTTGGGTGAGTTTTCTGTCCTACTTGTGGTTTTGAGAAACCAGATTTCCGCTGTTCTCAGCTCGAGCATTAGGAGTTCAGCCAAGTAGCGATACACTCGGCAGAAGTCAAACTTCTCACCTCCGCACAGAAGAAAAATCTATCTCTGCCTCATTCTCTTTTCTCTCTGATCCACTGCTTTGTATTCTGCCTGTGTTATAGCAGCAGACATGCTGATAGGCTGTGATTGTCGCCTGCCTGCTGAGTTCTGCCTAGCCTCCAGAGAAGCAGCACTGCCTGAGACCTCCACGAGCTCAGGAGGGGATTGAGCCTTCAGATCACTTTTTCCCCTCCAAAACCAGCCCTGTCTTCCCCATACACAGCCAGAAAAACATAGAAAGATTTGCCACATACAAGCAAAGAGTGATCTTGATAAAGGTAGCTGACATCTCTGGTGTATTCACATTTTGACCAATAGGTCTGCATTCAATTAAATTCTTTCATCCGATAATATAATCCATTTGCATTACATATGGGATTGAATGAGATCAGTATTCTGTGCAGGATATCGTTATAATTGGCTGAAATTGCTGGATTTGACTGAGAATGCACTGAGAATTGTTTGACAATGAGTTTATACTAGTGGATTAAGAATACATATGTAATAATTTTATGGATTTTTTAATGTGAGTAAAATATTTGTAGAGAGATTTGTAAGTCAATGAAAATAGTATGTGTTGTCTTAAGGTTTCTAATGGTCAGATGGAATTATTTAATGCAGAGTAATCTTATGCTTATTTAGAAATTGTGTGAGCCTGGTAAAACACTGATGCAGCTGTATATGGATATATATATATATATATCCACACATATATATATATATATATATATATATACAGTACAGGCCAAAAGTTTGGACACACCTTCTCATTCAATGTGTTTTCTTTATTTTCATGACTATTTACATTGTAGATTCTCACTGAAGGCATCAAAACTATGAATGAACACGTGGAGTTATGTACTTAACAAAAAAAGGTGAAATAACTGAAAACATGTTTTATATTCTAGTTTCTTCAAAATAGCCACCCTTTGCTTTGATTACTGCTTTGCAC